GGTGATATCTGTGTCTGTGTAAGATTCAAAAGGTGGTTGAAGTCCAGCCAGGATGTGAAGTTGGAAAGTGACGTTAGAGATGAATTCAGTTTAGACGAGAGGTGATATCTGTGTCTGTGTAAGATTCAAAAGGTGGTTGAAGTCCAGCCAGGGTGTGAAGTTGGAAAGTGACGTTAGAGATGAATTCAGTTTAGACGAGAGGTGATATCTGTGTCTGTGTAAGATTCAAAAGGTGGTTGAAGTCCAGCCAGGGTGTGAAGTTGGAAAGTGACGTTAGAGATGAATTCAGTTTAGACGAGAGGTGATATCTGTGTCTGTGTTTCCATCTGAGTTCTTCATCAAGTAAGCTGTAGAGGCGGCTTTATTATTACAAAATGAATATGTACATATAGATATGGAGGTGGCTTTATTATAACAAAATGGATATATAAATATAGTTTTAGAGACGTCTCTAATATAATAAAATAGATAGCTAAATATAGCTGTAGAAGCGTTATTAATATAACAAAATCTATATATAAATATCAATGTATAGGCGACTTTATTGTAAAAGTGCCATTAAATATGAAGGTTTCTCAATTATAGGAAACTTTATATGCCTCTTTTGTTTTTGATAAATATTTCATAGGGCATAAACTAAATATTTTCTTTCTTTGTCATTAGGATATTGAAAGAGATAAATCTAATCTTTAGAGAGCTTAGTTGGTGAATGTCAAAATAAATATTCACAGACATGTTACGTTAAGTTATACGAATGTTCGATTATTGCGCAGTGAAACAAAGCAACTTAGCATTTCAGCAGTTATTGACAAGATGAGATTCAAAAATTACATCACATACTCCAGAGTTTTTTGACAAACCGATACAAATTTTAACAATTAAGTGTAGACGCTTCTTACCCCCCTAATGGCACAGAATTATGTCTACGGAGTTACAACGCTAGAAACCGGGTTTCGATACCCGTGGTGGGCAGAGCATAGATAGCCCATTGTACAGCTTTGTGCTTAAATGACAACAACAAAGCTTACTCCTTATAAGAATTGTATCACGGTAATATACATAAACTAGATCTGAAGATTCGGTGTAATGTTCTAGCTTTAAAACTAAAATAATATTTCTATGTTTCGGAATCCATACACTATTATGGATCATTAATAAATCGTGACACCACAAAACTATAACCGTTCAAGTAAACTATATTGGTTAAGAAGCGACACTCCCACCTACAAGAAAATAAATATACAACTTCAATACAACAAGTACAAGAAATGATTTTAAAACTTATCTTGGTGTATTTTTTATGAATCTTATATATATATGTGTGTGTGTGTCAAGATTATAGATAAAAAAGACGTGAACATTTATGTAAATACCAGAAGAAAAGACCTGATTTTCACACTGCGCAAAGGGCGTTGCTTTACCGTAAAGTTTAATTATTTGGTGTATTTTGAACGTTTCGGGTTTTTCGTATAGAAAGTCTAACATCAAAATCCACACCATAAACGAAAGAAAAGTATTGTTTAAATTACATATTTTGAAATAAAGCTAATTCAATTTTAAGAAGAATTGTTATATGGACTACATTATGAAAGATTTGACTAAACATCACTCAGATATATTGTGTGCCTACAAAACCTAACGTTTACATATACAGTCAATTATTCGAGCAACCCGATGGATAAAGCTTGAAATATAGGGTAGAGTTAATGATCTGAATTAGACTACGATACTCAGGAGGGTTTATCCTCTTCTTCGCCCTCAATACGCTGCTGCTTTGGTTGGACTATAGAGAGATATGGGAGTGGCGAGATTTGAAAATCCCGCATTTGGAGACAGTGAGGAGATTTTTGAAGCTGTGAAGTTGAGGAGGAAGGATAGAACGTGGCTTGGAGAGAAGATAAAGCGTGGAAAATGGGATGAGTTCACGTAAGGTGGTAGATGTTAGCGACAGGACTATGTTTCCTTGAGGTAGAGAAAAACGAACCAAAGTACGAGAAGGAATAACAAAAATTGTGAGAAGAGTGGGAGGGGGGGCAAACCAGCTTCTGTATTTGAAGCTATAACATATGGTTTAAAAATCGACTCCACGCGTGACTGTGAACGCAAAAATGAGACTTCATTCATTTGCACTCAGAATAGGGAACCTCCGGTCATTCCT